GACTGGAGGTTTGAGCTGCCGTTTCAGCAGGTTCAGTTGTCACTGTGTAACCATAGCAACAGTGCACATAAATTTAATAAGTCCCAGCAAATATGGTTCAACTGTGATGGGGTTTTTTTTTTATGCACATGGTACAGGAGCAGCAGTGGAAAAAAAAACAGATATAAGAATCAGTCTTGTCTCCAGGCAGTTCAGTAAAGAGCTGCGACTGTCACTGTTCATACAGCAGTGACACAAACACAGCACAGTGGATCAGCTGATGTACGTGAAGTAAAACCCACTGATTTACTCCCTTTAATGACACGATTAAGAACAAAAAACAAAAGAGCTACCAGTCCTGGATCAATGTGAGATTGTAATTGGACTCAGACGCAGAAGGAAATGTCCAGCGTCCTCCAGCAAATCATCACTGGACAGGGACACAACACGGAATCAGTCTGGACCTGATGAGAGCGGGCGGCCGGTTGGTTTAGGGCCACGCGAGGACAGCGTCCATTCATCATCACCTTCCTGTCCGTCTCAGTGCCAAGATACGCACACACACACACACACACACACTCTAGCATACTTTAATCACACTTGTGTTGTCTGACCGTCCAGACGACACTTTCTCACTGATTCTGTCCGCTGGAAGACAGAAAAGTGCCCAGAACTAGAGATGTCCGATATTAACTTTTTTCGAATGTGCGATACGTCGATATTGTCCAAACACACTTTCTGATTCAGATATCAACTGGTACCGATATATGCAGTCGTTTTCAGACCAAAACTGCAGTTAACGTCAGAGTGCCCTAAAGAGGTTACAGCATATTTGGCGAAACGCAGCAAGTAGCATTATCGGGTTTTCATTATCGGAAAAACCGATAACGATTCTTACGGATATTACAAAATTATGCTAATATCGTGCCGATAATATCGTGGCGATAATATCGTGCCGATAATATCGTGGTGGCGCTTTGGCCCAGAGGCAATGTCTCTGTCATTGGTGTGGAACCCCAGGGTTCACCTCCTGGGCAAGTTCGAATCCCGGTTAGGGCGGTTGGTACCTTCCAGTGGACTCACCACCCGCAGGAAGGTTTGGGGGGGTTGGTATGGTGCAATGTGATTTGGGGGGAGACTGCTGCCCCCGCGACCCGGTAACGGATAAGCGGATGAAAATGGATGGATGGACAGATGGATGGATAATATTGTGCCGATATGGTTAGGGATGTCGGGCCAATAGTATTGGTCGCACGATATTATCGGCCCAACATCCCTACCCAGAAACCATTGGGTTATTTTGACCCAACACCCAAAATTGGTCAATTGCAGAGGACAAATTTTGGCGTGTTTCTATATGTGTCTGTATATGTGCGATGACCAGTAAAAGCCGGTTCTAGTGACACCTAGAGTCAAATGAAACCATAACATCCATCCAACCTGTACCGTTTGTCTGTGTTTTCCCTGCGCTCCAACAACAACAGTGCAAAATTCCAGCTCTCTTCTCTCCTTCCTCTGAGCCGGCTGTGTGTGACACTGCAGCATGTCAATGAGCGAGCGCTGATGACAACACAGTTTACACGCATGGCCTCATCCAATCCTGATCTGCTGAGCCACACGGGAATGACGACATTGGGGGAGAATTTTTTTCCATAGAGACAGGAATCACATGTCACAGACAGAACAATCTTTCCGTCTGAAGGTCCTGGACGTGAGAGAGGCGGCGTCAAGATCCTGAAAGTGCAGCGGTGAAAGTCAATGCTGCCCTTCAGACAGAGAGAGAGAGAGAGAGAGAGAGCGGGGCAGATCAATTATTGAGGATCATTGATAGCGAGGAAGAGTGATTACAGACATTAATGGATTATCAAAGGCCATGATGCACAATGCTAGCATTAGCTTCCTCGTGTGAACTGCTTCACATGTGGGATTTCAGCCTCCAACGTCACATCACTAAAGATGAGCAGCCCAGGGTTTGTGGGCCGTAACCTAAATTTACCTCTTTTTTTTTTTTCTTTTGAGCTAGACAGCAAGGTCATGTTTTGGTGATGTAATGCTGCCATCCATCCATACATCCATCCATCCATCTATTTATCTATCCTTTCATCCATAATAATTATAATAAATATAAATACAAATTCATACTATATTGACCCCATATTTGGGAAATTGTTGCATTAGAAGCCCCTAGCAAGCGCCAAGCATGTGGTTCCTCTGGGCATCAAACCCAGAACTCTTTACTCTCTGTTTCCAAGACAGGCGTGCTAACCGCTACACTATAGAACCGACTAAATCCATCCATCTATCTATCTATCTCATATGATCTGGGGGTCACCGTTGCCCCTTGTCATTTCACTGAAGGGCAAAAAAACTAACAACAAGGAGTTAGATCACGTTGTACTGACATATAGTTGCCGGCCACATATGGGTGCTTTGCGGGCCCCTTTTGGCCTGCGGGCCAGAGGTTTAAACCCTCTGCTATAATGCATTGCAGTGCATGTCATCAGCACCAGGATCCAACTCTTTTCACTTTATATTCCACGTAAGGCTGCAGAGAATTCCGTGATGTGTTTCTGGAGTA